AGATCAATATCATTCTTATAACTTAGAGATTGCACTATTCTCATATTTCTATTTTTAAATAGATATACAGTGTATATTACAAATAAAATGAGTGAGATTAAAGATTTCTATGATAATTCTATTTTTATCTCAGTCTTGTCTTATTTCATTTCATCAAAGAAGAGTTATATAATTCTTTTAGATATAAAACAGTTAACTCATTTTATTAGAGAAAGTGACAGTTTTAATATCTTCAATGTCTGAATTAACTTGAACTTTGAAACATGATCAAATGCTTCTTTTATATTAATAAAAACTACAGTTGAGATCAGATTCTCATGCTTTGCTGTTTAAATATCATGAATAACTGAGAGAATAGTGTCAATTGCAGAACACTGTTTTGTATCTCTTATTTATTCACTGAATAAAAGACAATCACTTATAGAGTATATAAAAGATAGATGAGTAGCTATTATCTTTTCTAAAACCTTTTCTAGACAGTTCAATAGAGATATTACTCTATATAACTTAGGAATTGAAGTCTTTCTATTAGATTTTGTAAGAATCACTTCAGTGACTTCTCTTCAGCATTCAGAATAATATTCATTTTTCAAGAGATTGAAAAAAAGCTCTAAATATTCATTTCTTAAGTAGAAATATTTATTTTGAATAATCAAGTGATTAATTGAATCAGGACCTGCAGGAGTTTTAACAGAACTTGAGAAAATAGCTGACTCTAATTCATCTTATATAAGATCAGGTCATTCCCAGTCATTTTCATCAATGTAGTTGAGAAGTGATATATTCTCTTTCTCTGAAACTGAATCTGAATCTGATGAGTTCTGAAAGAGAATTCTCATAAAAGCTTAACATTGTTTCTCAAAAGAGTTTGCTGTATATGATTTATTCTGAAACTCATATTCTAAGGCTGAAAGTTTTACTACACTTCTTATTTTAGTATAGTTAAAAGCTTTAAAAACTTTCTTCTCTTGTGCTTCTTCAAGAAATTTATTCCAGCAGTCTGTTTTAACTCTTTTAATATCTGAAAAATATTCATTTCTGACAGCTTTGAACTCTTCATCAGATATTATATTATTCTTTCAATCTCTTTTAGCAGTAGCTAATGCTTTTCTTTTAAATGAGATATTCTCATTTTATCAAGATTTTGAATACTCAGAAGATTTTCTCTTTGAAATATTATCTCTAACACTTGTTAGAATAACAGATGTAATAAGCTTCACTCTATTCTCAAGCATTTCATTTGAGATATCTTGACTTTGATTTCAATAAAGCTCACTCTGTCTTTCAGATTTCAGCTGTTTTACTCTTTCTTCAACTGCTTTTCAATCAGCTTTTTCAAAGTTATACTGATTAGAGAGAAGAGGATTTTCACTTATTTACTTTTCACTTAGTTCAATATCAAATTGAATAATCTCATAACCTGATTCTGATGTCTCATTTGAATTAATAAACCAGTTTACAAGTCTTCTTTTCATTAGATTTTGTGACATGAAGATTAGATCTATAATAGATTTCTGTTTCATATCTTTTCTAAAGAATGTTTGTTGATCAGACTTATTAATCAAATCTATTGAAGACTCAAAGATTCATTTAATCAGATTATCACCTCTCACTGCTCTCTTACATTCTGAATTTCATCAGAGATGATGTGCATTGAAATCTTCTACAATTATAGAGTTTCTTGATAAAGTTATGTTCAGAAATTCTCTATTAATTATTCAGATATTATTATTTTTCTTCAATGACTTTTCATTATAGATATTTATGAGCTGTATAGTATCAAACTCATTTTCTTTATCTATAATATCACTCATCAGAATATTAGGGTCAGACATGATATTAAATCTTAGATTAAATTAATATCTTAATCTCTTTCTTTCATAGATCACTACTCTTGACTTTATCTCAGACTTTTGAGATAGAAAGTAGTAGTAGCTTGAATGAGAAATGATGTAATTTTACTCAGCATCAAAATTCAGTTTCTGAAGTAGTATAAAATCAACTTTTTATTCAAATGCAATTTGAAGACAAGAATAAATATAATTTGAGTTTCTATTTACATTATTTTGAATAAATGTGATTTTTGAAGAGTTTTTAAACTTTTATTATTATTTTTGTTGTATATTCATACTAAAAGAGAGTAGAGATAGAGTAGAATCTAGTCACTATCATCAGATAGTAGATTATAACTATTTTGAAAAGTAGGGATCTCAACTGCTTGCATTATATCTCATTTATCATCAGAGTCATTTCTCAATTCTCTAATCTTAACAGAAGTTTGAGAATTCAAATTCTATTTACATTTAGCTGAAGCATTGAAGTTTAAAGATTTAGATAGTTGAGAGTTTCTTCTTTTTAAGCTTGCAGTTGTAAGTCTACTGACTTGACTCTTTTCTTCAGTTCTAGATTAACTTTGAGCTTTATCTTTTCTTCAGTTCTTTTGAGTTCTAGGAGTAAATATACATTCTTTTAAACTAGATGCATGTTTTTCTTCGCAATTAGAGCACTTAAGCAGAGTGTATTGACATATTTTATCTCTTTTTGAGCATGTTTCACATTTATACTCACTAGTTTTTTGATCTCTGGCACAGAATGCACATTTTGAGTCTCTAAAACATGAGATTGCAAGGAGTTCATATCTTTGACAGTTTGAACACTGTGTTTAAGCTTTGAGATTCATTCATGAGTCTTTGTATTCATGAACTCTCATTTTCAAACCTGCTACTCTTACTTCAGAGATCTTTGACTGTTCAACTATTTTTATATATACTAGAACAGAGGCATTTTTCCTGCTTTGTCTGAACTTAATTGAATTTAGTTATACAGACTTCTTTCTCAGTTGAATAGAGTTGTATTCTTTCAATTCATTTTTAAGAAGTAGCATTTCTTCTTCACAGTCAAAAATTTCAACTGAAATATCATGAAGAATGAATTTGTCTCACTTTTCATCTCTCTCAGATAGAATTGTTGTATTTAGCAAAGATTCTACTGCTGACTTTCAGAGATTCTTATTCTGAATAAGAAATTCAGCACTGAATTCAGACATTGTAGTCAGAATGATGAAGTTTTTAAAGAATGATGACTCAATTGAAGCTATAACTGATTTTTGAACTTTAATATTAGTTATCAACTGAGAAAAGAACTGCTGATTAATTTCATTTCTAATTCTGAAAATGAGATTTGAGTTTAGCTTGTTTCTTTGCAGAATATTCTGATTTGAGACTTTGAGAATAAGTCTTCTATTTCTGAAGATTTAAAAGCTTTTCTCTTTTTGTATTTTCTTTTTCACTTTTCTATGAATAGAGGTATGAGTAGTATTCTTCTCAGTTTTCTCAGGATTTTGAGCAGATTTTGAGACAGCAGGTTTAGAGACAGCAGATTCAGCTGCTTAAGCATATGTTTTCTTCTGATTCAAAGAAGAAGAAGAAGTAGAAAAAAAAGAAGAAGAGTAAGATAAAGAGTCAGTGATTATATAAGGAATTTTCAATGTTTTTTGAACTGTGCTTGAGATTTCAAGTTTGAACTTGATCATCTCCTGTAGTTGTCTAGCCTGAGCATGAAGAATTAACAGAACTTCTTCATTCATCTCACTCAGACACTGCTTTTCAAGAATCTTGCTTACTTTTTCAAGTTTCTGTATTTCAAGAACTTGTTATTTCTCTATTTCTTCTTTCTTTCTTCTCTTCAGAATTTCAATCTCAGAAATAGCATTTGAGAAAGCATCTTTTTTCATATAAACTGAGTATATTTTTGAACTCATTGTTTTCACTCAATGAAAAGTTGATCAGACTGTTTCAATTGAGATATTTCTAAGTCTGTTTTCAATTGAAAAGTTGATCAGACTGTTTCAAAAGAAGAATAAAAGACTTTTGTGTATAAAACACCTGATTTTTTTCACACTAGTTCAGTAACTAGATTAGATTTTTGAAGAGAATCTAATAAACTAAAATTGATTTTTGAGATAAATCAATAAAATCTTTATAATCTCTTTCTTGAAATACAGTGAGAAAAAGTATGATATCAATTGATAATAAATTAGATGATATAACAGTTTTTGAGAGAAAAACTGATAAAAAATAAATCAATTTTTTGCAGAGTAATTGATTAAAACTATTCAATTTTATTCTAAATCATTCAATTCTTCTCACACAACAAGTGTGTAACTCAAATCAGTTAATAAAGAGTGTAAAAAGAAATTAAGTATTAATAAAAGCTCTTCAGTCACTGAAAAAGTAATTCTTACTTAAAAGAATATGAAATTATGACAGAAAACAGCTCTGTTTTTAATTCTTTGTAAGAATATTGTATAAAACTCAGAGAAAAATACCTTACTTTTTCAAGAGAAGTAAAAAATGATTTCTAAGATCTTTTTTTTTTTTGTATTAACTGCTGTAGAAGAATGAGATAGAAACTGCTAAGATATACACTACTGTATACTCTCTATCAAGACTTTCTCTCTTCAGAGTCTTGATATTATAGAGAATATAAGTCTGTTTTTATATGATAATATAAATATTATCAGTGAGATGTAGAGGAACTGATTATTTATATCTCAAAATAGAAGACTTTGTCAATGATTATATCAATATAGAGTTAATTCTTAAATTCAATAGAAATCTAGTGTTGCTGTTCTCAATTCCTTGCAGAATCTATTGAATATTGAGATATTAAAACTAGATTTAATATATCTCACTGTGCAGAGATCAAAGACTCAGTCAGACCTTGAAATATACTGATTTTATAGTTGTTGATATGCTGTTGACTTGTTGTCTGCTGATTATGTATTGAATGCTGTTGCTGAGGTATCTTTTTGTATTATTCTGCCGGGGATGGGCCAGATTGAGAGGGGTAGTACAAGGGTGAGACTTGATGTTGAAGTCTAGATACACTGATAACAGACTGTGGAGATTGCACTTCAGAAGTGTCTGTTGATTATGTGCTTGATATTATCGCTGAGGTATCTTTTTGTATTTTTCTGCCGGGGATGGGCCAGATTGGGAAGGGCGGTACGAGGGTGGGACTTGGCGTTGATGTTTTGGAACATCAAAGGTGGACAGGGTTTTCGCGGAGGTCGCTTCTCAGATATCTCCACAATTACAGATTGGGGATCTTCCAAAATCAAGACAATTGGTGCATATGGCTATGTCTCTTCACCTTACAATTTGTATGGCACTTTGGCCCGGGATTGTGGTGTGGTAGGGGTGAACGGGGGATAATCCCACACGGGAGTTTCGAACAACATCTAGTTCACGTTTGGCTGGATATCTCCACCACCACACGGGGTATGCGGTCGGCGATGGGGTCCAAATGCTCGTATGATCGAGGGCTTTTCGATGGATCTATCGGCGGGTTCTTATTCGAAAAATCGAGCGAGTTCGTGGTGGGGCGGTTGAGTATATTATAATACACTATACATTATCTAATAGTCTCAGAGTCAGATTGAAAGAGAAGTATAATTTAAGTTAATTAAATATAAGATTCTTATTCTCAACTGAGACAGAAATTAAAGACTTAATAGACTTTCTATCAGAATCTCAATCAGCTACAGGAAAATAACAAAATTCAGAAATATCTGAATATGAAAAGAATGAAATTGATTAGATATAGTTCATTAAAACAGCTATACACTATCTTTTAATAATTTATTTTATTATAGTCTCTCTTTACTTTACTTTTTCTTTTCTATTCTTTTCTATCTACTTATTTAATATGTCTATCTTTAAGACTTTATTCTCTTTTCCTTTGTCATGATATTTTCAAATAATTTCAAAGTATCAGAAAATGTTAAAATACTGCAACTTGTAAAGAGTTTTTATATTCTGAGCTGAAATTTTCTGATTTTATATATCTGAAATTGATAAATGTATAATAGTTAACTCTATAGATATTAGGAAAACTCTGAGATCTTTTAGTTCTCAGATAGATATTATAGTCTATGACTGCATACATCTATAATTGAAGAATAATGATAATAATAATAATAATGTAATTGCACTTAACAGAACTTAATTTCTTAGACATGAAGATACATGATTCTAAGATATCTTTTATCAGGTCACGTGATCTGGCTTACTAATCATTTCATCATATAACTTTTCACAAGCTAGCAACCTTTCAATCACACAAGCTTTACACCTTTCACAGGTTATGAGATCTCTTTTATACAAAATCACTGCTATTTTGGAATTCCTTATTAATATCATTATTATTTTAACTACTGCTTCATTCAATACACTGATCAGGAGTGAAATCATCTTATTCTATCAGTATTGAGACCTTGTTGATCAATAATACTACTGCTCACTTAAAAAAAAACAAGAGACTTGCAGAAAACACATCACATTGTAAAAAAGCAAGAAAAAGAGAACAATATTGACAAGAATTCAATAAAATGAACATCAAGATAATGGATTCAACACAATCCTGCTCACATACATGTTCACAATCTTGTATTCTATTCAATAGTTCAGTTGATGATGATTCTTTAAACTCATACTCTGTCAGTGAACATTCTTCTGAAGCTTTTGAAAGCTTAATTAATAAATGCTCTGAAACACTCTCTTGATTCAAAGCTGGTTTGAATACAGATTCTGACACAGTCAGACCGGCCTCTCAACCTACTCAACAGCTTAATGAAGCTGATTCCCTTGATAAGAATAATGAACACTCAGGTGTCTATCATTCGGTTGAGATAATATCAGATTAACAGGTGAAACATCTCAAGATAACATTTGAGATGAAGAAGAAGTGAAGAGTTCTACAACTCAAACTACAACTGAAAAAACTCTGTCAACAGAGATTCTCTACAGATTGATCACAGAATGTTAACAATTATTCTGTCATTATCTCTACAGTCACATGGGATTCTAATCTCAGTGAAAGGTTGAAATTCAATCTTTATGAACTGAATAGCTGTGTTGGCAAGGCAATCTCCTAATTCAAGAGCGATGTCAAGAATACTATGAGATCAAACAGTCTAACTGATACATTTAATTACATCACATGAAGCATCTTCTTGAAATTGAAACTGATTAATACACAGTGTTGATATATAATTGAGAAATGACTGACTCAGAATTCTCTATAAAGAGATGATATATAAGTATCATTCTGAGATGCCAGACATCAGTGACTCTAGATATTCATCTCACACTCTCTGAATGCAGATGTCAGATCACATTTCTTCAAATATGATGAAAATAGAATTACTTATATTCTATGAAATGTGATTGAATAGAAATACTCTGTTCTCAAAACACAGTTGCACTGTGAGATAGTTCTGAAATTCATGTCTCTTGATGACATATAAATGATCAATCTACACACATTCTATGATAAGTTTCAGTTCATTATTATAAAATTACAGATGATGAATGCTTTTCTCTCAGATGTATAAATATTTAATATCTTTTACTCAGTTCTACTCAACAATTGAAGGAATTATGTTTAGAAGAAGATAGAGAAGATACAGGATTTCAAATCCACAGCTGTGGTATTGAATGTTAATCTTCTCATAAAGAATATCTGTTCATAGCTTGATTCTCTCAAAGATAAAAAGAATCTACAGAATACAGATTCTGCAGCTAACAGTGCTATAATAGCTACAACAGCTACAACAGCTACAACGATCACAACACCTATCAATTCCAACAACAATACATTGAATTCGGCCTGTGAAGGCTGTAATGAACATGGTCATGATAATACTCAAGAGGGCTTCTGAAATTATCAGGGATCGGGCAATTCATCTACATGTTCTGAATGTGAGAGATCTCACTTTAACACCTGTTAATTGATTAATTCAGACAGTGCTCTGAATAATTGAAGAATTTACAACACTGTGAGAATAAAGGAATTCAAAGAAAAGAAGGATAATAGTGAGGGTAGAACTCAACTATTAATTACAGATGAATCAGAGACCTTTCAGATGGCAATTCTCACAGAGGTTATCAATGTGCCAGCCTGTTTCATGGAACCCCAAAAGGATTCCTTCAACGGGCGTTTATACATATCAAAGGACCTCATTTTTCAGAAGGACCTTCATCTTGCCGATCCATCGATACCGACTACTACACACAACCCGCAGGTCCTACTCAATGCGGCCTGTAAAGCGGCTGCGGCGATTCCTTCAGTGACACCAGGCCTACTCACTGCAATGATTTCTGCAACAATTCCTTCAGTGATTTCTGATTCATCAATTGATGACCTGTTTATTGATGAGGAAATTCAACCTGAGTGTTCATTATTTCTCATATTCACTAATAATTGATGAATTGACTATGATATCTCTGTAAGAATATCTACTCTTTTAGTACAGAATACAATGAACTTCTCAGTACTCACAGTTAAATATGATGATTCTCTAACATCTACAAGAGATATCACTACAGTGAGGGAAGTTTCAGTGAGAAACAGTCTTGAAAACCTACTTATCAATTCTGAGATCACTACACTTTCAATTCTGAAAAATCTTACACACATCAAAGCTTTTATGAAATGAAAGTATTATTACAAGACCTGTGTTAAAGAGATCAAGTATTTAAAATATATACATTGAAAGAAGAATATGAAGATGCAGAAATAAAGAAATAAAAAATAATGTATCTTATAACTTATTTTTCATTACTACATGTTTTTCAGTCATTTTTTATATCTGTACTTGATTTGAAGGTGAATTTTATATATAGCATTGTGTATAGTTACTCTGATAAGTGAGGATGTTAGGTCACATAATCTGGCTTACTAATTCTTTCACTATATAGCTTTTCGCAAGCTAGCAACCTTTCAATTATACAAGCTTTACACCTTTCACATGTTTATCATTATATTGTAATATAGCTTCTTCTGTAATATAGTCAGAGAAGTCAGTCTTCACAACTCTCTTACAGTGTGAGTTAAATATTATCAGTAGAGAGATATTAATGAATATCTTCTTCATCTATATGAATATAGCTTCAGTATTTATTGACTATTAAAAGACTGAGTTCTTCTTAGTCAGCTCTGTAAGTGATCTCATAATATCTGAGAAGTCTTATATAAATCACTGATAGAAGTTACTAAATTGAATGAAGCTTTATATATCTTCCACAGTGTATAAAGTGTCTCATTCAAGAATAGTAGAAATCTTCTCAGAATTCATTCATATTCTCTTATCAGCTTCTATAATAAAATCAAGATATTTTATACTCTTGACTTCAAAGTTATACTTGTTTATATCTATCTTTAGTTCTGCTTCTTGTAGTCATTGTAATACTCTTTATACATATTCTCGATATTCTTTTCTGAATTCATCAGTAAATATGAGAATGTCATTGAGATAAGTAGATACAAACTTAGGAAGAAAATCTCAGAGTGCTCAGTTGATATACTTCTGAAATTTACTGAGAATATTAGTCAATTCAAAAGATGTGACTACTCATTTAAAAAGATTATATAGTAATTGAAATGCTATAAGCTACTTCTCTTCTTCAGTGATACAGATTCTGTGATAATCAGTGATAATATCTATCTTTGTAAATTATTAAGCTTATTCAATGTAAGCTAGAATTTTATTGATAAGAGATAAAGAATAACACTTCTTCTTTATTAGTCTATTCAGTCTGCAATAGTTCACACAGAATCAGAGTCTCTCATCTGATTTCTTTGTAAAGAGAATAAAAGCTGCAATGAAAGAGTTAGTAATGTGTATAAATCTCTTATTCAACAGATCATTGAGTATCTTTTAAAGAAGAAGAAGTTCATCTTAGAATATCTCGCTATATAGTATAGAAAAACTAACTTTTCCGAGTAAAATGCTCTGTAACATGACCTCACATGATATTACATACATCTTATTAAAATGAATTCATCTGAACAGCCAGCTCTGCAGCCTCTACAGCTCTGATATTAATCTTCATTCTTTTCTTTACAGACATTCTGTAAGAAATCCCGCTTCTCGCGGATTCTTTACCTCTATTCCTATCTCTTGTGTAATCAATAGGGTTAGCAGCCCTTGGCTACACACAACTATATAGACTGAAGTTCATGAATACTATTCATAACTCAGCATGAATACTATTATATATTTGATCTCTACATTTTATCTTTCTACTGTGAATACTTCTAGTAGTTAACAGTACATATCATATCAAGCTGTAAACACCTGAATAATCACTCATAAGCACTTATTCTTATATTTCAAGCTCAGTCAGTCAGCAATTATCTGTTATAACTGAAAGAACTAGAAACTCACATACTTCAATCTCTGTGAACTCTACTACAGACACTCAGAAGCAGCTCTCTGAATCATAAATAATTCTCATAAAAGCAGTTTCAGAAGACTTATCAATTACTTATAGAATATTATTCTCTGCATCTGTGACAGAGAAACTCTCTGAACTTATAAATGAATCAATCTCAGTGAAGAATATTCTTAAGCATCTTCTACAGAATTAAG